CCCTAGCTATGGATTATTTTATTATAATTGTTATGACTAAACCATTTTTATATAAAAAAAGAAAAAATAAGCTTACAATCTAAAAATATTTCCTGGCTTTATTAAATAATCCATACAAAAACGAATTGATCAAACTAAAACATTACAGTGGACTCATTGCAAAGCCGCTGAAAAAAAAGGTCTTTCAGTACAAAAACAACCAACGTTAAATTAAATGCGTTCTCCATATGATATCGTATAGTGAAGTATGTATTTTCTTTTTTAAGTGCACGTATAAACGTTTGATACATGCTTTTCCCTTGGGTCGTTGCAGATGTCACCTTTAATTGACTTAAATTTCAGCAAACTAAAAAAGTCGGAATTTATTCTAATCAAATCCCAAACAATGTGACAATCCAAAGTACTAGAATATCAGAAAAAAAAGAACTTTCGACAGTTTATTAATAATTTTAATCCCGACATTAAAAACCTCAGTCGGAAATTTGATTTATTTTGTCATTCAATTACCCACCGAAACTATAGCAAGTGTGGCTTACGGCTGTATCACGTTAAAACACCGGTTTCCGTACGATCATCAATGGGTGACTACTTGTGGATGTGTCGGTGGTGTAATGGATAATGGCTCGAAATTGTTAATGCTGACATAAAATACACCAGTCGGAAATTGGAAAGAATATAAAATGTTTAATAGATAGACCTTGTCGGTGTTATTTAATAAACATGGAATAAGACTCATTCCACCGATAAAACTAATTTTAGAGGAACGTTTAACTTTTGTATTTTTTCATTCAATTACCGTCTGAATCTAGAGAGAGTAAGCGCGCCGTAGAGTCGTATCGCTTTTAAAACAGCAATTCTCGTACGATCACCGAAGTTAAGCAACGTCGAACTGGTCATTACATGGGTGACCATTTGGGAATACCAAGTGCTGGTGGTATAATGACTCGTAATTGTTAATCGGAGAGCCGAGTTCTAGTTAGGTTTGATATATTCACCTACGTGCAAATAACCTTAGGAAAGGTATGAATCCACCTCTTTTCCCATCCAGATATGGTTTAATTAGTAAGATTGGAATCATTAAACCATTATCTCTCCCTCCCTGAAAGATACCTTTTGGAAAAATTATTATAATCTAAAAATATTTTCTGATCATTCAAAATAACAAAAAAATGGACAATAATCCGTAAAAAACAAATCAATCAATAGAGCAAGCGCCTAAAGTTTGATTCGAGAAATTAGGTTGTTGCAAAAGTTCCCATCTCTATCTTTGTATTAATTTCGGGATATCATAGTCCCTTTTCAGTTTAATCAGCTCTTTATTGATCTTTATACGTCACGAAATTGAAGTGCTGGGTATGACGATAAACTACACTCGGCAGCAAGGCCATTGATCGGGAGATTGAAGGTTCTGAGGAGCGTGGAAACACCTCTTAATTGCTGCCGTTCCCAAATCCACCCTAACCCGAAGTGGTAACACGTGTTAGGGTCCGAGATATGGGCAAATAGTAAACCCCCAAACAAAATATTTAGATTTCTGCATTAAATAACCCGTAGAGCTTGATATTTCACCAAAAAATAAATAAATAAAAAATCAACCAACCAAAGAACTAACATGTATAAGTCTTTCATGACATTAATCTATATAATTTCAAACAATTTCTTAAAGAAATCTGTATTCCAAACTATTTTACTACTGAAACATTTTAGACTACTCCAGTTGTTCTGAATAGAAAATAAGATCAAAATTTGAAAAGAAAATACAAAAACAAAAAAAAAAAAAAAAAAAAAAAAAAAAAAAAAAAAAACTTTCTTCAGTTTTTAAACCCAATAAATACATATGGACTTCTGTACATTACAGAAAAAAAGCACTTAAGTTACATACTACAAGATTATCTTTTTAGGGACATCGCTTTTAAAAGTTTAACAATTAGATTACCTAGCAGAATTTAGCAAAATGACATCGTGCAGATAATACAGCAATGATGATATATTCAGAAGGAAAATGAAAAGAAGCATTAAACAAAGTAACTGACAAAAGCAAGAAGAAAAGCCTGAGATTAATTGTAAGAAGATAAAATGCATATAATTATAGGCAAAGGACGGCCATGTATATGACATTACACATTGGGGATGTAAAATTAAATATATGCACAAAATTTTATTATGTGGTCAGTGTAGTGGATGAGACAAAAATACGATAAAGAAATTTAAAGGTGTATGAATAATGAAATTTTTTTTGGAAATTAAAAAATGATTTTTACTATACACTGCCTAACCTTCATTTAATAAAAAGCTGGAATTTGAAAAAAAAACTTTAACATAAAACACACATATCACCACCTCTATAATTATGTCCACACAAACATGTATATGCACAAAATCTAAGAGTATCATCTACCATGTATTCAATTGTGAAAGCAGAATAACATATCACATTTTATTATTAAATTAAATTAAAATAATTAATTTAATAATGTCGTTTTTTGACGTATTTTTTAACTTCAAAAAACGACATTAAAATGAATCCATTATTTTTATATATATATATATATATTATAAAAATGAAAGAAATTTTAAATTAAATGGTCCATGATATGCCGTTTAACAGACAAATCAATCATTCAATTCTCTTTCCTCACAAATTCTGTTTATGTTATTATCCGCATTTGTCGGGAGAAACACATCTCTATTGCTTCAGGTCTACATTTGCAAGGAAATTCACTTTTATATAGATCGTCCTTTGTATGACAATAAACTACATTTAGCAGCAAGGCGTCTGATCGGGAGATTATTAATTTTGAAGGAATATTGGAACCACTTCTTAATTTCTTGTTGTTCTCACATCCTCTGACAAATTAAAATTGAACACACGTTAGGGTCCTGAACATTGAGGATTAAATAGTGACCCCCAAATAGAAACAAAACACTTTGAAAGTATAAAAATATATATTTATAGCAAAATGACCAGCAATATATTTTATCTGTAGTTAAAAACATACAATTGCGTTCAAAATATTTAGATTCTGACATTAAATAACCCATAAAGATTGATATGCCACCAAACAAAATCAACTACACAACCAACATGGAAGAACTCTTTCATGACATTAACCCATATAATATCTTACAATTTCTCAAAGAAATCAAACTGTATTCCAAAATATAACTTTAACAAAATTGCAATATAAAACACATATATTTGGCGCCTCTAATCATGTCCACACAAACCTGGATATGCACAAAAGCTGCGTATCATTTACCATATACTCAACTGTGAAAGAAGAATAACATCATATTTTTATTACTTCAAGAAATTTTAATTTCGGCATTAAATGATCCATATTAAATTGATGCAATTTTAAACAAACAAACAAACAATTTCCAGAAAGTTTTTTTTTTCTTAATTATCTTATTTTTCTGAAGTTTTTGCCGCTGAAGATAAAACAATCCTCACGTTATATCTTTAATCTGAGGAAAAATACAATTAAAAAATAATAATGGATTATTGAAACTTGCGTTTTCCGATTTAAATACAAGAAACGATAAATAAGAGATTCCAAATTTTAAAAAAATCTTTGAACAAATTTACTGAATGATAAAAGTTGCAGTTTACCACTGATATCAGTACATTCATCCAACTGAATTGCAAACATGTTTACTTCTTTGAGGTGATATATTACATGAATATTATGCATACCTTTATTTATAATAACAATGATAGTTATTTTACCATTCTAAAAGGCTTTTAATTTTGATATGCGCACTAATTGAACTTTGGGCTTCTTTTCGTAAATAATTTAATTGATGACATTTTTAAAATTTTTCGTAGCACGCCGGTTGAAAAATCAATGAAATAGACGAAACGTTTACCTATTTTCCCCGAAAAAGTGACCAGCACAGCCAGTCAACAATTCTATAACAATAAAAGTAAAAGTGCTAAGTCGAAATGTCTTGTAAGTTAGATGAAGCATGCAAAAACGCTTTCATTTCCACGAAAATTAAATCTGAATCAGTTAACTTGTTTAAATGAGACATTGGAAATGAAAATCCATTTAGGGCGTCCGCTGATTTTGCTGCACAATTACGCCAGCCCACACACTATGCTAGTTTAGTAACTTCGGTATTTATCATTTCACCCACGGGAAACGAATATGGCACAAGGCCGATTTTATTGTGGGTTTCTCCGAGCCCGTAGGCTCGGCCAAAAAAAATAGCCTTTTGAAGCCGATTAGACGGGTTCAGGCCCTGTCTACCTCCCCGGACGAAACCTTGCCCTTCGGCAAAGCTTCGTCCGGGTTCCTCTCTGCTAACGCAGAGAGTTCGACAGACGTCGGAAGTCAGCTCAAGAACTTCTCCTAGTTTAGTAACTTCTACTACATGTATATGTATTCTCCGCCGTTGTTTATCACTTGCATTTTCCAATACAACGGTTACCATATAGTCAGCGATGATTCTGGAAAACACTATGAAGAATTTTTATCGACTCAAAACTGGAATGGTTCTTTCATTAGCAAATTTGAAGTAATATGAATTTTTGTAAATATTTTCTTGTGAATGTAACATTGTTCAGTATTTTCTTGTTTCCTCCGTTTGCTGATAATGTCACCAGCAGACAATTGTCACACAGTGGGTAACAATAACGAAAGAGGGTGGGTAGGCGGCACACCACACACTGTCCATGAAACAATGGAGAGCATGCAAAGTCATCCACAGTGTCCACATTTCAGCTGCCACAATATAAAATTGAGTCAGTTTCTTTCTGGCTGTGAATATTTATTTATTTTCTCTCTGACTTGAATAGATTACGGACTTTTCTATTTGAATAATGTTTTTACAAGGAGAGAAGTAGATATAGACAGAATAAAATGGATAGAAGTGTGTACGATAGAAGAGAGAGAAGATAAAAAGGAATAGAGTGTTTGATAGAAAAAAAGTGTAATTTAGAATGAGGAAGAGAGAAAAGTGTATGATAGAGAATTAGAGCGGGGAGGAATGAAAAGTCAGGGAATGGCAAAATAAAAAAAATGTGCATAAGAAAGAAAGAAAGAGTACGATAGAAAATACTGTGAGGAAGAGTGAGAAGTTCGTGAAAGAAAGAAAAAAGAAAGAATACGATAGGAATGAATAGTCAGGGAATGGCAAAATAAAAAAATGTGCATGAAAAAGAAAGAAAGAAACTGTGGGGAGGTGTGAGAAGCCTGTGAAAGAAAGAAAGAGTACGATAGAAAAATACTGTTGGGAGGAGTGAGTGAGAAAGAAAGAAAGAAAGAAAATGTACGGTAGAGAATTACAGAGAAGAGGAGGGAGAAGTCAGTGAACAGCGGGAAAAGGAGAAAAATGAAGTACACGATGACGAAAAAAGAACGAAAGAAAAAAAGAAAGAAAGAACGTGTACAATGAAAGTGCATAGTAGAGTAAAGGAGAAAACGAACAAGAACAAGAGAGAGGGAAAGAGAAAGAAAGAAAGGATCATTTAAGAAAGATACAATGCTACTTACTCTCCACTGATGTTTCAGGAATGTTTGAAAGAACTAGCCTACAGACTATGCTCATATCATCCCCATCAGTAGGCCAAGTGTGATTATCAATGGCGCATAAGATCCAATAATAATAAGGATAATAAAAAAAACGATGAATTTTTAGATTTTAAAACTCCTAAAATCGGAGTTTTGACGAAGATTCACATACTTCATTTGGTCAGGTTCTCAATGGTTAGGACAGTGGCAAGAGTTCGCAGTTAGAGTGACCCGAAATAAAAACTATGGAAGAATAATTGCACTACTTCTTTTAGACCAGCACAAGAAACCCCTGACAGCGGTCAGAGAGCAAAGCAGCTGAAACACTGTGATAAATAAAAACAAAGCTGAAAATTAATCTAATTGAAGTAATATTAAAAGATTTCAGCATTTTTTTTAAAAAAATAGACACGAGTAAAAAAAAAAAAAAAAAGACTAGCAATCCATTTGGATGAAATGAACTTGTATACGAATCTGTAGCATCTGAGCTTGTTAAAAGATGCATTCCTCACTGAAGACTTCTTTTTCAGTAAATATGCGTGTCGTCTGGATTTATTTTTGGGTTGCTCATGCGCATTAGATGCTATAAAAATGGTGGCCTTTAAAATGAAGCTCAGCGAAAAAAAAACATCCACAAAATAAAAACCAAGGAAATAAAAAGAGAAAAAACGATACAATGTCTAAAAATAATCTGGCATTTAAAAAAAATATGCGTCATCTTTTATTCCTGAAAATTGAGCGATAAAGAACAGATGGAAAAAATGCAGCTTTATAAATAAAAAATAATAATTAAAAAAAAAAACAGAATAGTCACGATGAGAAAGAAAATAAGAGAATAGGAAAAAGAGAGAATAGTAAAAAAGAGAGAAAGAAAAAGACAAAGCGAGACAAGAATTAGAATAACAAAGAAAATAAAGTGAAAAAGATAGAGAGAGAAAGAGAAGAGAGAAGAAGAGAGATAAAAGAAATAAGAGAAAAGAAAGAAACAAGAAAAAAAGAAAGAAAGGAAAGGAAAGAAAGAAAGGAAAAGAAAGAAAAGAAAAAAAAAAAAGAAAGAAAGGAAAAGAAAGAAAAATTTAAAAAGGAAAGAAAGAAAGAAAGAAACAAAAAAAGAAAAGAAAAAAAAAAAAGAAAATACAAAAGAAAAGAAAGAAAAAAAGAAAAAAAAAAGAAAGAAAATAAAGAAATAAAAGAGAAAGAAAGAAAAAAGAAAAAAGAAAAACGAAAGAAAAAAAGAAAGAAAGAAAAAAGAAGAAAAAAAAAGAAAAAAAAAGAACGAATAAAAGAAAGAAAGAAAAAGAAAGAAAAAGAAAGACAAAAAAGAAAGGAAAGGAAAGAAAGAAAGAAAGAAAAGAAAGAAAGAAAAAAGAAAGAAAAGAAAAAGAAAAGAAAGAAAGAAAAAAAGAAAGAAAAGAAAGAAAGGAAAAGAAAAGAAAAAGAAAAAAAATGAAAAAATAAAGAAAATAAAAAAGAAAGAAAAGAAAAGAAAAGAAAAAAAAGAAAAGAAAAGAAAGAAATGAAAGAAAAGAAAGGAAAGAAAGGAAAGAAAAGAAAGGAAGAAAGGAAAGAAAAGAAAGGAAGAAAGGAAGAAAGGAAAGAAAAGAAAGGAAGAAAGAAAAACTAAAGAAAGAAAAACTAAAGAAAGAAAAACTAAAGAAAGAAAAACTAAAGAAAGAAAAACTAAAGAAAGAAAAACTAAAGAAAGAAAAACTAAAGAAAGAAAAACTAAAGAAAGAAAGAAAAACTAAAGAAATAAACTTGAAATAGAGAATTGAAAGAACAAATCAGAAAAAAAAGAAATTTGTTCCGATGTCGTGTAATGTTTGGCAAGCTTGTCTCGGTAGATCAATTACGATGCTCTTTGAGTACTCCATACTTGTGCCACATCTAAACTACACAAACATGTAGCATCTGAGTATTATCTACCATGTATTCAATTGTGAAAGCAGAATAACATATATAATTTTACTTCAAAACTTCCTAGAAAATAAAATTTTGGCATTAAATGACCCATAACGAGTTGATATGCCGTTAATCAAATCAATCACTCAAACTTTTAAAGATAAGACCCGCCATATTATTTGCACATGTTAAAATCATCTTCAATCTTTTCGTATTTCAATGGTCAGAAGGAAGTTTGGACAGCTTCTTCCTAAGTGCTGCTATCTTGTGTAACTGACTTCCGAAAGGATGCTTCCAACGACACGAATGAATCCGGACTTATACTTACAATAATTCCAAAACGGTAGATTTTATCAAATTTATCAAGCCAGATTCGAATGGAGCATGTACAATTACCCATAAATGTAAGCATTATGGAGTTTTTTAATTTTTTTTTTTTTTTTTTACATCTGTTCTCCTCCAATCAATTTCATGAAATTTTGAGAAATTAAAATTCCAGGCTCTTCATACATATATATATATATATATATATATATATATTATAGTTAAAAGGAGGACTCCTTGGAGAATTTAAATCTTCAATTTCTTTTTATCAAACAGAAAAACCATTTACCGAAAATTTACTCTGAATCGTAAAATAAAAAAAAATGCGATAAAATTGACGTTATTTAATTAGAAAAGTATTTAATTGATTTTATTAATAAGATATATTAAGGACACTATTGTCTTAATAAAATAAAATTCGATGAATAATGAATTTTGGCAAGAACTGTTTTCTTCTTTTTTTTTTTAAATTAATTAGAAAAAATTGTTAACTTTTAAATCTAGATCAATTACGACTGAGTGATGAGTATAATCCTCACTGGGTACTTCACACTTTCGGCCTTGTGCCATATCTAAGCTTAGGACATCATAGGGAACTTCGACGTGGTGTAATTGTTAGCAAGCTTGTTTTGACATATCAATTACAAACTGAACAGTGAGTTTAATCCTCCCTAATTGCCCCATAATTTCGGCCTTGTGCCACATCTAAGGTACGCTAAGAAAATCTGCATAATAATAAGAAAGGAAGGGAATATACATGCGATGAGAATGCTCTAGTAAGTTTAACGTCTGCTGCAGTGAAATGGAAAAGCATATCAATTTTTAAACTTTTAATTTGCACACTCTAATATATTTAAAATATTCATGCTTTTTTTTATGTGCCGTGTCCTTTCAGGACGTAGGCGATCATGACTCTCCACTCTCTCCTATCCCTTGTAGCTCTCAATAAGTTTCGTCACCTCCTCCAAACCCCGTTCTGTCATGAACTTGCTTAATCCTGCTAAGTATGTCATGCGTTGTTTTCCCTTGTCTCTCTTTCCCTCTATTTGACCCTTGAGTATCAGATTTTCCAGGCCCTCTTTCCTCGTTATGTGTCACAGGAACTTCAGCTGCCCCTTCATGATGAGAAGTATGTCTCCTCCTTGTTTGCATCCTCTCTAAGACCTCATCGTTGTTCACACGCTCGTTCCATGATATCCTTAGCATCCTTCTGTAGAACCACATCTTTGAGGAAATCTTCTAACATTCGCTGCCGTAAAGGAGGACAGATGCCACGTAACAGCTCGGTAATCTTTTCTTCGTTACCAAAGAAATCCTCCTTTCTCGTAGTACTCTGCCCAGCTTTTGAAATTTGTCCTTGGACATCCCAATACGTCTACTGATCTCAGTGTCGCATTTACCGTCCTCTGTCAGAACGCGTCCCAGATATTTAAACTGACGAGTCTGCTTGATTCTAGTTTTCCCGACCTACAAATCGTATATCCTTTTATGGTTCATATTACAATATTTTTTTTTAAGTTAGTAATCTCAAATATTTAACGATGCAATTGTAGATTTTCAATGGGATTTTATGGTCGTGTAGCTTATTCAATTAAGAACTACGGTGCCTCAGAAAAAAATCAAAGATGAATACTGTGAAATTTTCGAGGGTGGTCGTAGAAAAAAAACAAACATGAAGAGAAAAAAGAAGCAAAGACGAAAGAAGAAAGTAGAAAAAAAGTGAAGAGGCTAAAATAAATAGCATTGAAATCCGAATAAAATGCGAAAAAAAAAATAAAAATAAAGACAATCAAAAAAAAAAAAAAAAAAGGAAACAAGAAGAAAACTGAAGGGCACAGTTCGAAGAGGTCAAATGCCGAACAAATGGTCAGCATATTTCGCATACGGGATACACGCAAAACAACGTCTTCAGGGAATTGCTGTCACTTTTAAAAGCCATTATCCACCAGCCATCAGCCATCATGGCAGAACATAACAGAAATGACGTCCATTGCCCGAGAAAATAAAAAGCATCAAAACTAAAAAGGATAGCGAAATGTGTTGGTTGCAGTCGCTTCTTCCGTTTAGAACCCCGAAGGTGACTGTCATTTTCCTGTTCTATATTATTTTTCAATCTCTCTCTCTATATATATATATATATATATATAATATATATATATATATATATAATGAAACAATTTTTTTGAAAAACAAGACCCTGGTGAAGACATTGTGCTAATGTCGAAATTACTCGGAATAAAATGAGTATGTATCTACATGATAATTTTCTTTCTTCCTTTAATAAGGATACTAAGAAACTTTTATTTATATATATATATATATATATATATATATATATATATATATATATATAGGTTGTGCGGATAATGTAATGAATTAGTAATTGGAATGCCGTGTTCGAATTCTAGTCCTGTTCATTGCATTCACTTACATGCAAATACTCTTTGGAAAGTTTTCAAAGCACTTTTTTCCCCCCCAGAAACTATGGATTAAGTAGTAGGAATTGCATGTAAAAATTCTTGTTATTGTTAATGGAATATTCAATTCAAAAAGAAGTGATCTTGTTCGGATAGATAGATAGATAGAGTCAGTTGTTGATAAATCCTAACGAATAAACCGAATGATTATAAAAAGTTTCGTTAAAAAATCTCAGAAGTCGGGCAGCTTATTATAACACCAAACAGTTAAGTGAGAAATTTTATATTTGTATTTATACTCTCTCTCACTATATATATATATATATAAAAGAGAGAGAGAGAGAGAGAGAGGAATTCCTCGATTAGTGGGGTTAAGTGTATATTAAAAGGTATGCACTAACCGAAAACGCATTAATCGAATATAAAGAAAACTGCCAAAAAAAAGAAAGTTAACCATTTTCCATTTTTAAATTTTAGAAAAGTTTTAATTGATCGATAAAGTATAAATAAAAACTGGCGTTAAAGTGAAGAATAATTTACCGAACTAATCGAATATTTTGCATGCACTAATCGAATTTTACTGTAAAAATATCAGCGCACCAGTCGAAAACGCATTAGTTGTAGGATTATTATATATATATATATATATATATATATATATATATATATAGAGAGAGAGAGAGAGAGAGATGTTGATATGTATATACATATATTGAGATATATATATATATATATATATATATATATAAACATACCGATATAGATATATACAGACAATGTGATATATATATATATATATATACACACACACACAGAGATATTCATACATGCATATACACAGATATTCATACATGTGTATACATATATACAGTTTTTCAACTTTATTAATGTATGCTTTTAGTATATAGGGCCAAACTGATTGTGCTGGTGAAATTTATTAGGTTAATCTCTTAAATGGACAAAACCAGTCTACGAATGCTGTATTCTATCTAACTCGTAGCTTTTAAGCGATTTTCAATATCGACCTCTGGTACAGATACGAAATAATTATATGCTGAGTTGAGTTTCATTTCGCTACAAGGTCAAAGGAATTAAATACCCGGTCAGTATCGAAATCCGAACTCAAAGAAAGATCAAAGCAAGAAATTCGCTAACCGTTACGCGATGGAAAAAGCGCCCACACCGGTGGCAAATATGTGTTACCGTAAATTCTACTGTAACAGTTTCTTTTCACGCTGATGGAACTCACTTTCGACTTCTTGCTTTCCAGTCAACTTTGTTCTTCAAAAATTTTGATGCAATGTCTATCGTTATTTTCTCTTTTCTTAATTCCTGTTCTTTTATTTTTCTCTCCCCTTAATAATGTTTTATTTTTCTTATATTCACTCATACACAGTAACTCCTTATCGATTATGCAAGTTACAAATTGGATATACCAAAATCAACCAAGAACAACAATTTAAATATCTGGGAATTGTTTTGATAGAGGACGGAAAATACGACACCGAATCCCGATGGTGCATTTGGTAGCGAAAGATGTCTTCCAATAGCTAAGCAAAGTAATAAGAAACAGCAAAATTTAATTAGAAATAATTAAAATATTAGTGAACTGTTATGTAGTATCTGTTCTGCTATATGACAGTGAATGCTGGACCATCTCTGCAGAGATGAAGAAGAAACTTGAGGCAGTAGAAATGTGGTCTCACAGAAGGATGGTGAATACCATAGACGGAACATATGAACAACGAGAAAGTTCTAAAGAAAATGGAAACGAAGAGGACACTTATACTTAACATCAGAAAGAGACAGTGGAAATTTCTAGGGCACATAATGAGGAAAGAGGGCTTGGAAAATTTGTCACTCACAGGCTATATTGGAAGTAAGAGGGACAGAAGAAACATCGCATAACCTACCTAGACTGCTTGTGTAAATGAATGACAGAATAAGGTTAAAGAGGGATAGCAAAAACAACATTGACTTACAGTTACAAACGAAAGGAAATTGTGGAGAGCCATTCCCTTTTCCACAGACGAAACGTCGCAAGCCTCTTACTGCTTTATCTCTATTTCCATAGAACGTGTTCAGACGAACTAGATTCATTAATTCCAGTAGTTCTAAACTTCTCGGCTATGGCCCGCCATGCCACGCACTTTGTAGCAAATTCTAATGGTGAGATGTCAGTTCCATTCAAGTAGCTTCTTCCCAAGAACTGCTGATTTGTATAACCGTCTCCGAAGAGAATGCTTCCATGCTCACTACAATCTTGGCCTGTTCAAATTCAGGGTCAACTGTTATCTCTCCCCCCCACCTATCCCTATATACTGTGCTTCTTACTCTGTAACCCTCTACCTTGAATAGTTCTTAGACATTGTACAGGGTGAACATCATTGTAAAAGTAACGTCCTGAAAGGACACTACACATGAAGAAGAAGACAAAAAAGAAGAAAAGACAAAAAAGAAGAAAAAGAAGATAAAAAAGAAGAAAAAGAAGATAAAAAAAAGAAAAAGACAAAGACAAAAGAAAAAGATTAAGAAAAAAACAAAAAGGGGAGAAAAGAAGAAAAAGAAGAAGACAAAAGAAAAAGATGAAGAAAAAAAGAAAAAAAGAAAAAGAGGAGAAAAGAAGAAAAAGAAAAAAGGAGAAAAAGAAAAAGAAAAAGAGAAGAAAGGAGAAAAGAAAAAAGGAAAAAGAAAAAAGAAAAAAAAAGAAAAAAAAAAAAAGAGAAAAAAAAAAAAAGAAAAAGAAAAAAAAAGAAATAAGAAGAAAAGAGAAAAAGAAAAGAAAGCAAAAAAAAGAAAAAAGAAGAAAAGAGAAAAAATTCAAAGAAAGAAAAAAAAAAAAGAAAGGAGAAGAAACAAGAAAAAAGAAAAGAAAAAGATGAAGAAGAAACGAGAAAAAAAGAAAAGAAAAAGAAGAAGAAGAAACGAGAAAAAAAGAAAAGAAAAAGAAGAAGAAACGAGAAAAAAGAAAAGAAAAAGAAGAAGAAACGAGAAAAAAGAAAAGAAAAAGAAGAAGAAGAAGAAGAAGAAAAAGAGAAGAAAAAGAAGAAGAAAGGAGAAAAAGTAAAAGAGGACAAAAAAGAAGAAAAAAGAAAAGCAAAATTAAAAGAAAAGAAGAAAAAGAGAGAAAGGAAAAGAAGAAAAATGGTGAATATATTTCTTTTTTGAAAGTTATATTTTATGGGAGTTAAATCAGGGTTTCCCAACCTGGGCGATATCACCAACTGTTGGATGGACGATAAGCAACTGAAAAAAAAAAATGGTGGCCGACTAGACATTTTGGTGGGCGATATAGGATTTTGAGTATTAAAAAAGTATTTCAAGAATGACTTCAGGATAATTTTTATTATCACTTTTTTTATCACATTGGTGATCTCATTTTTACCCAGACAGAAAAGTGCCTATCAACCTATAACTGTATGCTTTTGAATATTTAATTTTACGGTGAGCAGTGGAAAATTATTCCATATCAAAGTGGGCGATTATCCCTGGGTTAAACCAAAATTCACTATTAAGTGCATATTGTAGGATAGAAGAGAATTTAAGCTTATTCTCGACGCAACTTTATATCACTCAACTTTGTTTCAGTTTTCGGGTGGTCGACTGATTAAGTCAGATATGAAATATTTAAATACTTTACGAACTCATTAACCTTTTGAGCCCTGACAACCGGTTTACTGGTGGTAGACAAAAATGCCTAATGCTCAGCTACCTGTTGAACGGTGGGTAAACACTTGTAATTATTTTTATATCTGCCGTGAAACATTACATACCAATTATTTGCGAATTTTGAATCAGGAGCTCAGACAGAAGGGTTACAATTTTTCAGGAACGCAAGGATCAAAGGGTTAATATAATAAAAAAAAATCATTTTAATGTATAATAGTGAATAATGAATGAATATTAAATATTCTCAACTTCTTTTTTTGTTGCCATGTCCTTTCAGGACGTAGGCGATCATGGATCTCCACCTCCTCCTATCCCTGGCAGCTCTCAACAAGTTATTTCCTCTGTTGTTCCCCACAGACCAAAATTCTGTCAACCTTAAAGCCGCTAGGTATATCATGCCTTGTTTCTCCTATATCTCGTTCCCTTTATTCGAGTCTTGAGTATCAGATTCTCCAGGCCATCTTTCCTCATTATGTATCCCAGAAACTTCAAATAAGGTATTTTCTGATGTTATTTTTATGAGCCTCCAAAATTATGCGAAATATTTTCTAAGATCTCAATGTTATTCACACGCTTAATCAAAATGATATCCTTAAACAATCCTCTCCTAATGTTATCTAAATATAAAAACGAACGCTAGTAATGACACTTAATAGTACAAAAGAATGCTATTAGAATTTATACTAAAGCGGAGACTATAAGAGTGAATATTCTGACAATATTTCATTCCGTAAATTAAAAAACGCCTGAGAAAACGTCTGCCAAAATGTAGTAATGAAAGCAACAGTCATATGATAACAATCCGAATAATTTATAGAATTGATTCTACATTTTAATATTTATGAATAATGTTTGGGCGAAGCACCTTTGATTGGAAGGGGAAATGAGCGACTGGCAAAACAACTTAAAATGTATCTTGTACAGACAACGAAAATATCTTCTGCACTCAGAATTCCTTTCTTTTTAACTATCTTACAATAACTTCTTGTTGACATGACTTGAGGCCGCCATATTTATTAAGTGCAAATATGTTTATCTCAATTAAGCGAATGAATTTTATTTTTATTTTTTTTTAAAATAATTCCCCGCCCCCGACATCACAAAGACTGAGCCGATAAATTGTTTCCTTTTTAATAGAGGCTTGTAGGATGCAAATAGTTGCCGTAAAAATTGAATTTTTTTTTTTTTTTTTGCAATCACAAATAAACTGTACAGGAGAGACAGCAAAAGATAGCTGAATGGATGTGGAAAAGGAAATAAAATTTTCAAATTAACTTTCAATTTTTTGACAACTCGTTTGGTTGCTAAAATAGAAGAAATATCAAGAAATATTGCTTAGGTGAAAATAATGACAAATAGAAATGCGGTTTCACGTCCTGATAGTTGAATTCTGTTAATCCAACCTTTTTTTTTTTTTTTGATCAGAAAATGTTATTCTTTTTCGTGCATTCTAAAAATAAATGACATGAACACTTTGGTTTGGGTCATAAGTTAACGAGCAATGTCTAGCAAACCATTATTATTGCGAACAACCTCCATTCTCACTGGGTGCCTTCACTTGGTCTAACCCGAGATTTCTCTCGTCCTACCCAAATGTATTGGTCACTCCCTTTCAGGAGAATATGATATAAAATGTACGAATATCATATCTGTCGGTCAAGAGCCTAGAGAGGAGATGGGTGCCGCCTAGCTATCTGTAAGCCCACTGAAAGGCTCATCGGGAAAAAGAATCAAATCAACAGCATGCCGAATCGTTCGAAGCCCGAACCAACAACGGTTGTGCCTTCTCCCTATGACTAACTTCAGGGCGGTTGTGACATGTGAGGCGACCGAAGCGACAAACAGCCATCAAGCTACCAACACAGGATACAGCCATCGGAACGTGGAACGGTTGCGACCTCTATGCTTTTAGAGAAAGAGTGATCGGACATGACAATGTCAGAACGCCTGAGAGCCACCGCCCACAGGTCAGATCCCACCAATTTACATTTGAGACAATCGAAGAACTGATGATAATTATGATGATGATAATGATGATGAATACCATAGAATAAGTAAGTTTTCTGTGTCTATCATTGTATTTATTTGTTCCATGAGGTGAGTGAGGTTGGCTCTTTTCAAACGTGTCAATCATTTATGGGAACCGTTTCAGAGACATCCACATGCATCATTTTCATTTGACAGTAGCGAACGAACTTCTCTTCGGAATTTTGGTACCCATAGCTCTCCACAACTTCCTGTATTTTTTTTGGTTTAAGTGATTTTTGACACCCCCTCCTCCCATAATTTTTATCTCTCTTTATCTATCCGTATCCTGGGTCTGACGATAAACTACATCCGGAAGCAAGGCCTCTGATCAGGAGGTTTTGAGGAACGTGAAACTACCTCAATCGCTGTTGTTCCCAGATACACCCTGACCAGGGGTGGTAGCACCTGTTAGGGTCCCAGCTATGGGCAAATAGTTAACACCCAAACTGAGGTCAAAACACTATGAAAGCGAAAAAATAGGTTTTTATAGTAAAAATACCAGCATACATTTTTTTTTAAATTATTACTAGCAATACATTTTTGAAAGAAAAAACATTTCCAGTAATACATTTTTGGGAAAAAAATATTACCAGCAATACATTTTTGAAAAAAAAAAAAATATTACCAGCAATACATTAGACTCTCGACAAAATCGCTCTTTACAAAAATACGTCAATGAAACCCGATATACAAACTGATTTCTTACAAAGAATACATATTCTATTTACCTAAAAAATCTTGTCAGCATTAAATAACCCATTGAAGTTGATATGCCGTAAAACAAAATAAACCAAACCAATTTATCTAACCCTTCACACAAAAACGTTAAGTAGTTGACTCTCTTGTCTCTCAATAGGTCTTGTGAGTTTTAAATTCTTTTATATTTATCATCAATAAATGCCAGGAAAAAACAATTTCCTTGAATATATTCTGTCTATGGTATTCTTGGGTATTGGTCAATTCAAAAGAAAGGTAATAACCTTATGAGATAAATGGATGATACAACTGAATTAAATTTTCTATCCGTATGCAGGCGGTTTAAAAAAAGTATAAGTTCAAGGTTTTTTTAATTTTCATATCATTTCCCAAAAAATCGGTTTGGGTTTTAAGAAAATAATTACGTAATAATGTAATTTTTTGACGTTAAAAATACGTCAAAAAACGACATTATTACGTCATTATTTTTGCACCAATTAAAATAAAATTGAAAAAATCCAAATCATCAATTTCTGTTTTGTAATCGATACTTTCTAGGCATCTCGATTTTCATTCCATTCCTCACCGACGTAACGTGTTTTTTTTGTTAAAAAAACAAATATTCTGTTCTGATATTTTTTCATTTTTTAATGCCCTAAATATTTCGGTTGGTGCATAATTATCAGGCGTTTTCTTTAAACAATATTTATTATGAAAAAAGAAACATAACAATTCAACAATAACATTTTTAAATAATTATTCCGTAGCGTATGATTATCGACACGCATTTTTATAACCTAAAAATAAAATAATATTTTTATTTAAAAAAAAGTAAACAAAACAGCAATTTTTATTAACAAATAACTCGCCTAGAAAAACGCCTGATAATTACGCACCAACCCAATACATGAACTTGATACTAGATTGGCATCTAGGTCCCACCTGTTTAATGTTGAAATAGCTAAATGCAACCGCCACTTCTTTTCCAATAGTTTCTTTTCTCACACTTCCAACCTGGGCAACTCCCTTCCGTTTATTAATTCCCTGATAACTACTATCTTCAAAAATGAAGAAAGATTTTACTGAAACATTAATCGTCATCTTTTATCTTCTTGAACCCCGTTCATCTTTTGTCCTTTCTTCAATCCTCCTTATTCTTAATCCTCTTTCGTTCTACTATAGTATGATATCTACCTCGGAATTTGCAACTAACCATAAATGACGATGCACTCATTATTGCTGGAAAATACTCAGGAAAAAATGACCAGCTTACAGTTTTTTTTTAAATACCTAATCAGTTTATCAACATTAAAATCACTATTTTTATGATTTTTAAAAAATTTTTGTATAAAAAAAATGTTAATGAATTTTAATATATAACCAGTTCACTGTTCACTGCCTTTAACCCAGACCCTAACTTCTAAACCCAATATATTTCATACTTCTAACAGATATTAAATATACCATAGTAGAAAATGAATAGTAGATATGCTATAACAGAAAAATGGACGGTAGATATTTTTTTTAGAATTTTCAATTTCACTTTTTTTCCTGTAATCTTTATTCGTTTTAGTGATATTACCGCCTTCCTTGATGTGAAATGATTAAAAAAAAATTATGCAGTATTTGTCTTAGAATGGTAATTCAGTTTAAATTGTGTATTTTTTAAAAAAGAAAAAAAAAAAAAAAAAGGAACAGGAGGTTCGATGCATCATAAAATATGGGGTAGTACTGAGGATTTACGAAAGGGTTGATTCTAGTAAGAA